GGGTGACTGTGCCTCAAACCCCACTGAATGAAGGGGAGAGGCCGAGGGACCCGTCTCCTGCTTCCAAATGGGGATGGGGTCGCAGTTTGGTTGGGAAGGTCTTGAGGAGCTCTGGAAGGGCAGCCGGGGGCATGGGGGGTTGCATGTCCTAACACAAGATCTTCTCTTGGCAGCTGGACCCTTTCTATGCCTCCATCATCCTGTTTGTGGGGCGAGCCTGGGACGCCATCACAGACCCCATGGTGGGCTTCTTCATCAGCAAAACATCATGGACCCGCTTTGGCCGTTTGATGCCCTGGTAAGAGCCATCTGTAGCACCCCGCATCTCTGCCTGATGTGTCACAGTGCTTCCAGTCAGCTTTGGGTGTCCCTTGGCATGAGGTTTGCTGGGTAGGACATGCTGATGCCCTGTCTCACCCAGGTGAGGTGCCAAGTGCCCCAAAAAGCTCAAGGTGCTGTTAACAGCTGGGACTTCAAGTCTGTGCCTGTTACTCTGTCCTTCATGTCACTGTGCCTGCAGCAGCTCCAGCCTCCCTTAGAGCTGCTCCGATGCCATGTTCCAACGCTGGACTTTGTTCCCGCAGCAGTTGCTGAGCCCTGGCTGGTGGCAGGGCCACATTGCCAGCAGAGCAGGTGGCGTCGCACCCATAGGGAGGAGGGACGGGGGTGTGCGCGGTTGGTGTGTGGTGGTGGAGTGCCGGCTGACAGTCACGAGGATGCTCTTTGGGCAGGAAAACAGCTGTGACAGTTCTGGGTGTCCCCACGTGAGTGCTTCTGCTGCCCTTGGGAGCAAGGTGCTGAGCGAAGGGGTGCCGAAGGGAGTCGGAGTAGATGGGACGGGGGTTTTGTGCAGTTTCAAAGTGCCTACACCCAGGGCAGATTTAGGATGTCCATAAATGCCAGCCCCTGTGCGGGACAGGGAGCATTGCAGGGCGCTAATGCCTAAGCGTGGACATGGTGGCATGTCCTGTGCTAAAATAACCCATGTCCTGGGTGCCTGTGGGATTGCTGAAATACAATGCAGCAAAGGGGGTGGGCATGGGGGGAGTGGAATTGGAGGGACGCAGTCCTTTTTCCCCCCCCGCAGATTATACCCTCTGCTTCCGGGCTTTCCCGGAATAGCTCTGAGCAGTGGCGGTCGGCTGTTGTTAAAGCTCTACGCATGGCCTGAAATAGCTTCTCTGCAGCCGCACGTGTGGTGGGGTCTGGGGTCTGGAGATTAGAGCAGGGCTGCCTGCGCGGAGCCGCCTGGGCGTGCAGGCAGGGCTGCGCGGGAGAGCCGTGCATGCTCGGATGGCCGCCGCAGCTCCGCTCTCTGTAATCTCACATCCTCGAGGCAGGGGGTGGGGATGGAGCGACTGCATTCCTCCAAACGGCTCCCGCTTCGTTAAAATTAGCCAGAGCTTTTGACTTGCGCTGGGCCCCTCAGCAGCGCTGGGGCAGCGGGCTGCGAGGAGCTTGCTGCTATCGTACATGGCTCAAGGGCAACCGGCTGAGTCCGATTTGGATGGAGTTGAGCTGAGTTTAAACCTCCCCATTTTGGGGTTCGTTGGCCGTGTGTGGGGCTGCACAGCCCCGGGCTGATGTGGCTGTGGAGCTGCTCTCTGCCTCAGTTTCCCTATGTGCAGAGCCAGCAGACGCAGATGCTGCGGGGTGGCCTCCGAGGCTGCTGCCTGACCCCAACCCTCAGCACCCGTGAGGTGACCCTGTGTAACCCCCTCTGTGTGTGGGGATCCAAAGTTTCTGCCGGGCTCCGAAGGGTCTGATCTGTGTGGCTGAGCTCCAGATGGCTGCTTGTGGCTTCAGCTCAAAGCTTGGGGCTGCTTTGGCCCCTCGGAAGGGAGAGGAGACCTTCCCCAAGGGCCATCACCTCTCTCCCTTTCAGTTTGTTCTTTTTAAAACACTTTTTGTCACATTTTGTCCCAGCAACTCATCCACTGGCTGCTTCCTCCTCTCTGTCCTCGGGGACCCCGCTCTGTCCCCAGCCCTGAGCAGGTCCCTGTTTCCTCGACCACCCCAGACTTCCCGGTGACTAAAATTTTCCTTGATGCGCTGGTGGCTGAAGAGCCTCAGCTTTGACCTTCCTTCTCTGGGGCAGCAGCCGTTTGCAAACAGTTAACCACCGGGCCGGGAAGGGGTGTGCGAGCCGTGGCACAAAGGAACACACCATCGCGCCGTGGCCAATGAGCGGGCGAGCGCGTCACGGCAACCTCCTCCGAGCTTCTTAATCACCTCTGCCTCGGTCAGGGGTAACTCGAAGTCACTCGTGTACCACTGCCAGGAGCTGCTAGTCAGCCCCGGCCAGGGCTCAGCACCCTGATCCCGGTGCTGTGCTGGGCCCGTGGGGGATTGGCATATCCGACGTACACGCGCTGGTGCCCACGGCAAGCGTGACGTGGTTCCTGCCGCGCGGTTGCGGTGACTCATTCAAAATTTCCCTTGGCTCCACGTATGCGTACGGCGATAAGAGCGCGGGAGAGGAGTGGCTGGAGCTGGCTCGCCCCTTTCCTCCCCCTGCCGGGGTGACGTGCGCGCGGAAAAATGTGCATGTGTTGGGTCCCGTGCAATGCCTCTGCCGGCTCTCCATCCATGGAGATTTGGTTTCTTGCTTCCCTCCCCCCCTGCCTCCGCCCTTTAAATTTAAACTTTGCGTCCTGTATGTCAGCCCGGACGGAAAGATCTTGCTGTACCCTGGCAGCTGGGCAGCAGAAGGCCAGCCCTGACCGTGCGTGGCTCTGTCCCGTATCCGCTTCTGCTGGCTTTGCTCCAGGATGTAGCCTCTGCCCAGTAGTTTGTGGAGCGCAGGGTGCTTGGAAAATCCCAAGCAAAATCAGTCTCTGAAACAGATGTGGATGCAGCCTTCACACCTGGCTCCCTTCCCTCCAGGAGGAGGAATTCCTCTCCTGAGTGACGGGGTGTCCTGGGCGCTCGTGGTGTCCTCGGGCTGCTGGTGCAGGGTAGAGCTGTTCCCTGGCTGGGTTGCTGCAGGACAAGGGTTGTGAGATCAGCTGGGTGAAGCTGAGAGATGTTCTGGGTGAATTCCCGCTGCGATTGCCCTCACTGGCCGGTCCTGTTGGGACCACTGCCAGGGCCAAGTGCTTGAGCAATCCCCTCCGATCCTCTGTTGCGCTTTGCGTCCCGTGTCCCTGGGCCTGAAGCTCCGGGAAGCTGGGCAAGGGTGGAAGAAGGAGCCAGCCTGCTGCTGGCCGGTGGTTTGCCCCATCTCTGCCAACAGAACAGGGGTGACCCCAGGACCGGGGTTTGGTTGCGGGGGGAGGGCTGGCAGCAACGCCAAGCTGGTGAGAGGTGTTTGTCTGCTGGGCCCGTGGGGCTGTGCCGCCTGGCTGCTCCCCAGCCCTTGCCGGGACGAGGGAGGCGATTACATCCCGCTGAACACGCAGCGGTGCTGCCTGGGGGAGAGGTCGGGGCTGGGGGTGGAAGCTGAAGGCAAGAGCAGATCAATCACTTCCATTGAAGCAGAGATGTCTGTTTTTGCAAATAAAGCTCTTCCCTGGAAGTCTGAGTCAGCTCTTCCCCTTTCCACCCTGTGAGATCTGAGCTGCTGCCTTCAGCCTGGTGTGAATCACCCCTGTGGCAACCACCTCCTGTTGAAGCGTTGGGGCAGGGTGGGCCACCTCAGGGCAGCTCAGGAGCCCCCAAAATCAGATGCCTGAACCCCACTGGCCATGTGGCAGCAGGGAAAGACGTGCTGGTAGGTTTACCCAGGCACTGTGTGCCCGTGACGCTAACGGTGTGTTCTCCCAAAGGATCATCTTTTCCACCCCTTTTGCCGTCATCGCCTACTTTCTCATCTGGTTTGTGCCGGACATCTCCAGAGGCCAAGTGATGTGGTACCTCGTCTTCTACTGCATCTTCCAGACCCTTGTGACGGTGAGTTGGGTTCTGCACACACCAGGGTTGGTGGGTGAGGGCTGGAGAGAACGAATCCCTGCCTTCACCTTGCTGAGCCACGCAGAGGGGCAGGTTCTCGTCCCTGAGCTAATTCTCCCCATGTCATTGCAGTGCTTCCACGTGCCCTACTCGGCGCTGACCATGTTCATCAGCAGGGAGCAGAGCGAGCGGGACTCCGCCACCGCCTACCGTAAGAGTATTTCCTTGCCGGCCTTGCCACGGCTGGGGGGCAGCTGGTGCTCAGCTCCTTTGCTGCAGCTCTCGCTGGGGCATGATCCTCCTCCAGATGCCCTGCTGGAAGGGCTCATTTGATCACACCCAACCCCAAGGATGGTGTGTGATGAACATTGTTCAGGGCTTGAATTGCAGCTGCTCCAGCTCTTCCCATTCCTCTTCCCTGGCTCCTCCAGCAAAAGTCCTTGTCTAGTCTGGTGAGAGCTGGGCTGATGGGGAGGTAGTCCTTGTTATGGCCAGGCGCCCAGAGCAGACAATGGGGGATCTGAGCTCCCAAGTCTTTCCTCCTGCTGTCATACAGCAGTGGGAGCAGCATGACCAAGTCTTGGCCTTGCTCCCTGCCTCAGTTTCCCCAGCAGACGCTCTCCTGCCCTGTGTAGCACAGGCTTTATCACTTGGTGATGTGGAGGAAGCCGTAGGAGAGCTGGGCTGGCTCATTTCTTCTGGTGAAGGGCAATGAATTGAAGCTGGGGAGGCTCTGCTGGGGAGAAGGGTTTTGCATCCATGCCCTGGGTGCTCAGTCCCGCTGGCCTCTCCCTCCAGGTATGACGGTGGAAGTGCTGGGCACCGTGCTGGGCACTGCTATCCAGGGCCAGATCGTGGGCAAGGTGATTACTCCCTGCATCGAGAGCCCCCTCTTCATTGGCAAGACCAACTCCTCGGTGGCCATGGAGGAGCTAAACATGACCCACGACACCGGGTCACTCACGGACACAGTAAGCTGCTGGCAGTCCCTGCCATACTCTCCTTGCCTTTTTGACTGGGCTGACTTCAGGGACAAGCCCCCTCCCTCACCGCTCCCTCCTCTCTTGCGCAGAGAAATGCCTACATGATCGCTGCGGGGGTCATCGGGGGACTCTACATCCTCTGCGCTGTGATCCTCTCGGTGGGCGTGCGGGAGAAGAGAGGTGAGGCTTGAGACATGATGGAATACTCTGGACTCATGGAAATGCTGTGGCTCCTGCCAGGGGCTCCCCAGGAGGGCAGCTGAGCTCTCGGGTCAAGCACTGGAGGAGAGGGGCAGGTAGAGCTCAGGTCTGGGGGCATGGGGAAGGCGCTGCAGAAGGGCAGCACTGTGGGCAGGAGGCTAGAGCATCTCCAGGGTACATTACAGCACAGCTCTGAGGACTTAGCTCACTGCTCTGATGGTCAGAGATAAACGTTATCTTGCAGTTATGTCTGGCCAAGGTCGCTGGTGCCAACTAGGGCATCCCGAGGTGAGGTGACATCCAAAGTCCAGTAGCTTCTGGCCTTCCCTCCCTCTGCTTTGTGACCTTTCCTTCCCTCCCCTTTACCCTGGGCGAATCAGGCAGGCCATCTCCTCCCCTCTGTGGGGCTGAGGGACCCCCGTGTGAGGGCAGGGAGGTCCCTGCAGGCATTGCCTTGACTCCCTTGGGGTGGGATGCTCTAGGTGGGCAGGGGCTTGTGCTGGGCGCTCAGCAGCAGGCGTGAGGCACCGTACCCCTTGCACCCAAGGGTGCTGTTTCAGTGGGTCTAACGATGGGCTGATTTGCTCTGCTCCCCAGAGTCCTCTGAGCTCCAGTCGGACGAGCCTGTCTCCTTCTTCCAGGGGCTGAAGCTGGTGATGAACCACGGTGCTTACATCAAGCTCATCGCTGGCTTCCTCTTCACCTCGCTGGCCTTCATGGTAAGCACAGCTGGGCTTGGATGGGGGAGAGGGAACAGCAGCAGTGCAGCTTGGAGATGGCCGGGGGACAAGCAGTGTAGGGCCCAAATAGGATCCCGGTGGGCTGAGAGCATGTGAGGCGGCAGCTCAATGAGCCGGAGCTGCCCCAGGCAGAGAAGGATGTGGCCTCATGCCCTTGGATGGGTCGGTGAATGGCCGCTTTCTTCCCGTGCTCGCACTCTGAGCAAGGAGGAGCACGTGCCTCTGGGTGGCTGCGGTGTCTGTCCCCCATTAACCGCTGTCTGCCTCCTCCACAGCTGCTGGAGGGAAACTTTGCCCTGTTCTGCACCTACACCCTGGGCTTCCGCAACGAGTTCCAGAACATCCTCCTGGCCATCATGGTGCGTACAGCTCCATCCTGGAGCCCTCCGGGGCTGAGACTGTGGTGGGACACATGCTATGGGATCCCCTGGGTCCTCCCCAGGAGCTGGCATGGGATGGGTACTCTGTGGGCTGCAATAGTCCACCGTGGGGCTGCAATAGTCCACCGTGGGGACAGTGACCGAAGGTCCCCCGGGAGAAGGGAAGGGAGAAGGAGCTGCCAAATGCCCTGCAATGGCCGGGTGAGTTGGCAGGAACAGCGAGGCCTTTGTTCCCGTGTGAAGGCGGCCAGAGACGGGGGAGACCAGGAGCGGTGGGGGCCTTTTGTCCAAATCCTGCCACTTATCTCCCTTCCCCCCCCACCCCCCGCCTCGAGAAAAGGATCTCAGTGTTTACTGCCAGGAAGATGGAGCAAAACAGTTCCTTGAGAGCCCTTTCCAGCTTGCCTCATCCCTGGGAACCCTTCCCACCCTCCCTGCTCGATGGGCTGGAGAGGCCCAAGGTGCCAAGGTCCCCACGGAGCCTGGCTCTTGGCCGTGCTTTGCACAGGCAGTGGTGACAAGATGAGGTCTCTTGCCAGCACCGAGGATCAAGTCAGGTCCTCCTTCTGTTTAGGCAGGTGTGCTGGCACCTGCCAAGCGCCCCGAGGATGGTGGTGCTGGGTACCAGAGTGCTCTGCACCGGCGAGGAGGTGGCCTCACACATCTGCTCCAATTGCGAGCTCTCCTTCCCGGGAGCGGAGGCAGGCGAGGGATGGGGTGAGGGCAGGAGCAGGCAGCATGGCTGCGTGCCAGCCCTGGGAGCGTGTGGAAATCAGAGGTGCTAGAAAAGCTGGAAATATGATGGGGGAGGCGGTGTCCGGGAGCCGCTCCTTGCTGGGAAGAGCTTTTACCCCACATAAGAGCCTGGCCAGCAAATGACACCACCACCCCTTCTCTTCTCATAGCTCTCGGCCACCTTGACCATTCCCCTCTGGCAGTGGTTCCTTACCCGCTTTGGCAAGAAGACTGCTGTCTACGTGGGCATTTCGGTGAGTGGGTCCCCTTGAGCGCAGATGTGCATATGAGGATGGTGTTTCTCACATGGGGTGAGCAGAGCTGTGTCCTCTGGAGCTGGGCAGGGGCTGCTGCCGATTTGGTGCCTGTCCCTCATCTTGCTATTTGTGCTGTCACGGATGTGGCCAAGGCCAGCAGAAATGGCCACTGCGGGGCTCTGGGAGGAAGGCTGCACTGCTGCTTCCCAGCCTGTTCCTGCGGTCGGAGGAGGGAAGGGGAACGAGCAAGTAGTCTGGGTCAGGCACTGCTGACACAACCTGCTTTCTGTCCCCTATCTAGTCTGCTATCCCCTTCCTCATCATGGTGGCTGTCCTGGACAGTAACCTCATCGTCACCTACGTTGTGGCCGTTGCAGCTGGGATCAGCGTTGCAGCCGCTTTCCTCCTGCCCTGGTGAGTGCAAGGTCCTGGTGCTCTCAGCGCTGCAGCCCAAGAGCTGGGCAAGGTGCTTCCAGGGCCTGCTGGAGTGGTTAGAAATCCTCAGGGGGCCTTTTTGCAGTGTTTTCAGCCCAAAATGGGGCTCTTGGAAGGAAATCCTCTCAGCAGGGAGAGGAGATGCTTTGTTGGCTCTGTCCTAGTGTTCACCATTCCGCTCTCCACACAGGTCCATGCTCCCAGACGTCATAGATGACTTCAAGCTGCAGCACCCCGACTCACATGGCCATGAAGCCATCTTCTTCTCCTTCTATGTCTTCTTCACCAAGTTCACCTCTGGGGTCTCCCTGGGCATCTCCACACTCAGCTTAGAGTGAGTTCTTGCATGGGTGCCGAGGGGCAGGGAGGGAGGGGGGGAAAGCCGTGCACCTCTGCATCTGGGCATCTCTGCCTCCTGAAGGGCTGGGAGGGAGGTGGGGGGGTCCAAATCCAGTTGTGGCTCCAAGTCTCTCCCTGCAGGGACAGGTTCACCTCCTACAGGCTCAGCTTTCTTTGCCTCAAGGTCCCTTTCTGTCCGCAGCTTTGCGGGATACCAGACCCGGGGCTGCTCCCAGCCCAGCGAGGTGAACTTCACCCTGAAGATGCTGGTGTCGGCCGTGCCTGTGGGGCTGATCCTGCTGGGCCTGCTGCTCTTCAAGCTGTACCCTATTGACGAGGAGAAGCGGAGGAAAAACAAGAAAGCCCTACAGGACTTAAGGTGAGTGTCAGCTTGCGCTATGGAGGTAGCAAGCAGAGCCAGCCAGTGGGGTGTGCGGGGGCAGGATCAGGCCCAGACGGGTTGGGACAGACTGTGACTTGTCCAGGAATCCTCCAGAACCCATGGGTGGTGGGGTGAGGGAAGGGCTGGCTTATTTTTCCAATCCCGACTTCCAAAGAGATGGTGTGAAGTGTTTGAGATCAACGGGGAACCCGCCCCGGTTGCTAAAGAAAACTCGTTCGGGGACTGCGCAAGGCGGTGACGTCCCTCTCAAACCCTGCGGAGGCTCCAGTGCTCCAAGGCAGAGGTCTGCTTGGACGCAGGGCTTGCTCCCTGGCTCACCCCATGCCTCATCCTCAACCCTTTGCCCCCAGGGAGGACAGTAACAGCAGCTCGGAGTCGGACAACACAGAACTGGCCAGCATCGTGTGACCCTGGGCTGGGTCCGTCCGCTCACACTGGGGCTCTCCGGAGACTCGGCCCCTCCAGGGCTGGACCAGCCTCGTGCCGCTGTAGGTGTGCGCCATCGAGGAGCGCCCGGGAGAAGCCGTGCAGAGCATCCACCAACTCAAACACGAGATCTGTGCCGGTCTTGTGCCTTCCATGGGATCCACAGAGCGCTGGTAGTGTACATTACACGAATTGACCCTGTGGTACTTGTGTGCCTCACGAGAAGCAAGCACTATTCCCTGCCGGGTCCCGGAGACCAGAAAAGCCCGGAGCGGGATCCTTTTGCTCGTAACACTCGTGCCCGCTGCCTGTCTGTGCCCGGCCCGCGTGGGGCCGATCGCCTGTCGGACTGGGGGTAATGGTTAGTGTACATTACACTGTCAATGTGACCGCGCCAAGGACGTGAGCTCACCTCTGCTGTCTGTACATACGACACTTAATTTGGAAAGCTGTTCTTTTTCTTTTTTGATAGAGCCTAATTAACTTAATGATGTAAATATGAAACTATTTCCTATTTGTATATATCTGTACAGAAACCGAACTTGAGGACCTATTAATATTAATTTACATAAAAGTGGGGGAAGTCAGCAGTGTGGGTGTGGAAGATTTTCTTCGTTTGGCTGCTTTTTCTGTGGATGTCAGCAAGCCCAGGGTCCCTTTACATGCCACGGGGCGCGGGATTGACTTGTCCTGAGCCGAAGGCGCAGAAATGCCATAATCCAGGCAGGCAGCCGTGCCCGGCAGCCCCTTACCCCTGTGCGGCTCCTTGCTCGGTGCCTGCACTGCAGCAACCAACAAAGGCTCTATTATTTTCTCCCTTTCAAGAGGGAACGGGGGTGGAGGGAGGAATGAAATGAAAGCACTGGCTGCGGAGACTGTGAACCCGGGGCTGGAAACAGGAGAGGCAGCCTGGGAGAGGAGAGAAAGGGAATGCGGGCTGTGGGTGACACTCAACACTTTTCTCGCAGGGCAGAGTGCTGTGCAAGCGGTAATCTTTGTGGATATTTATACCTTGCTCTCACATTCCCCTCTCTGCAGCAGAAACGGGGAGAGCCCTGCCCTCCCCGCTCAGCGGGAGCGCTGCGCTGCTGCGGCAGCAAGTGCAATGCAGAGGGGGAAAGCAAACTGGGGTAAGCACAGGGAGGATGCACCAGAGATGAAGCAGCCACCCATAAAGTTTGGGGCAAATCCCCAGTGTGAGGGGACTGTCGTAGCTCTGCTGCTCTGTCCCCACGGCCACTGCGCTGGGGGACAGGGCTGTTGCCTTTTGTTAAGTACGTTTGTCACACCAAGAAATTAGTAGGGTCAGTGCCTGAGTCAAGAGCGGCCCCTCTGCTCAGGGGGGCTCGGGGCAACCATGGCTCATCCTTTGTTCCGCATTTGGGCACAAAGGACTGGAATGAGGATGGGGTTTTAAAAATAGCCGGAGGGATTAGACCTTAGCTGGGAATGCTTAACTGGGCCCCGTTCTGCCACCGTGGCCGGGTCATGAAAAGAAGCAAAAGGAGTGATGCAAGGGGCTGGGAGCTGGCTTTGTGCTGAGCAGAGGGCAAGAAGCAGCGTTAGCCATGGCCTGGGTGCTCCCTGACCCCCCAGGGATGGGGTTTGCAGTAAAGGAACAAGGACAGGACAAAGCCAGTGCTCTCTGAAGCTCCTGTGGCAGAGCAGGTAGGCGCCATCCGCACCCTCTGCGAGAGATGGAGGAGGGCGGCAGCGCTCCAGCCGAGCACAGAAGTTGAGTTTGTTGCAGATGTACTGCCCCCTGCCCTGCTCCTGGCCAAGTTTGCGAGGAGTCATCCTGGCCATTGCTATGACCTGGCTGCCTCCGAGGGGTGTGAGCAGTGCTGCTGTCTCCAAGGATCTGAAAGATTGCTGCTAGCTTTTCTTTTCAAAGAGTTTCAACAGAAATCAGGGACATTTTATTCTTTGCCGCCTCTTTGTGGTTTTTTTGGCTCTGTGGGGTTCAGGAGCAGTCTCTGTTCAGTTTTTTTGCAGCCAACCCAAGAGAATAAAAGCACACTGAGCTTGAACCGGGGCCCAGACATTCCGAGCTGAGCACACCTCTTCTATTTGAGGCTTTTAAGAAAATAGATGCGGGGGGAAAAAATGACCATGGGAGTTGATAGCACTGAGCCCTGGGCAAAACTCCAGCCTCGAAGCTGAGACCACGTCTTGCTTCAGTTGTGATTACAGAGGGCTTTCGATCCAAGCATGAAGAAAGCCTCTCTGGCATGGGAAGTCTTCTCAGCCAGAACTGCCTGGGGAGATGCTGCCTGTACCTACAGCTGGCCTCCAGCAGCAGCTGTGCTACGGCTTAATCCACGCTAACCTTGATGATGAAGCAAACGCACCCAAGCATCTGCGAAGCATCTCCCTGCAGAGCTGGAATTACATCGCTGCTGTGTCCTCCGTGTTGGTGGGGTGCGCCATGTGTTGGGGCTGATGTACGGGCAGCGCTGGCCCTGTGAAATCAAAGCCAGAAGATGGAAAATGCGGGGTGTCAGCTGCGCGCTCAGCACCTGCTGAGCTGATGCCTGAATGGCATATGGGCTGGGGCTGTGCTGCCCAGAAACCATATGCGGGTGCTGGGAATCAGCCCCCATTCCCAGCTGATGGGCTTTAACGGGTAGGGGTTACCCATCTGGTGCCAGGGGCTTGGGGAACCTTCCCCTGAACGTGGGGGGCACCGCTGCCCATGCTGGAAGGGAGCAGAGGGTTTCTGTTCTGCTCAGGGAACCAGGC